GAAAATCCTGCCGCTTTGTGGAGCGTAACCCTAGTACCTCCTGGTGAGGGGCACTGCAGTGACATCATTCCCCTGAGCCACCTGTTTCGACATACACTATATATTCACAATCCCGATTCCTGACACTACGCTGTTCCCCGACAATCACTCTTCGACGCAGCCACTGGTGTTACCGCCTCTCACAGCACAGCCGTAGCTTCTAGAGCCACCACTGCCGTCCTCCGGACTATCCTTGTCGTCCCCGCTAGCCCTGCATCCCAAACCCTTCTTGCCGTCTACCACCCATGCCGACACTGCTGCTCCAGCTCTCGCCGGCGGTTCCGCCACAGCTTCCGCCGGCCAACCGCAGAAGCCGCCGTGCCAATACGCGCCGCGGGCGACGTCGTGCGCAGAACCCCTTCACACGCTCTCCCCTCCCCATCACCACACACCACTGTCGGAGCGCCCGACGACGGAGACGGAGCGGCTGTTCGCACCCCTCCCCCCCCTCCCTGCTCCTCCCCTCCCCGCCCGGCCCCGCGCCCGCCCCGCCGCCCCGCCCGCCCCGCCCTTCCCTTCCAACGCCCATCTCCGCCCAGCTCTGTCCGCCTAGCCCCGCCCAGCTTGCCGCCCATCCCCGTCCAGCCCCCGCCATCCTCACGCCCCGCCTCCCTTCGCCCCACCCTCACGTTCCGCCGCGCCCCACCGCGTCCCGCTACGCCCCGTCCTTCCCCGCTCCTCTCCTCCCACCCGGCCACGCGCGCTCTCGTCGCCAGCTGCGGCTCACCGCTCGCTCTGAAGCGCTCTCTAGTTTTGCTGTGTGTTAGCGCGCCACCGATCGTTCTTTACAGAGGGCTAGAGGTCTGCGACAGCAAACACACTGCGATACAAAACCACACAAATAAAAAGTGGTTTCCCAGAAAGTAGTACACACAGCGCTCAATTGATTGATTAGTGATTGATTAGTGGTTCCGGGCGCGTCAACAGCAAAGATTGTTCCCGTAAATTTAGTACATATCACTTGAGGTGGCAGTGATCGTCCCTCGTTGTATGGCGAGATCTGGAACCGACCTAGCTGTTGGCATGCAGGGTTTCCCCAACCAGGTATCTAGCACCAGTTGGACTTTCCCTCAGCCGGGATTGATCGATTGTTAGTGAACTCTGCCGCGTCAACAGCTAAGTTCGCTGACATAAAGAAGAAATAGCCGGTAGAAATTCATTTGAATAAAATGCTGAGTAAATGGAGGAATACATACGATTATTAATGAAACTGCACGATTTGACAAACAAAATTGTTATAAATGGTAACAAAAGTCAAAATATATTAATATATTTAAAATGTCTTTGGTAAAAATATATTTTAAATTTATTCAATACATTGATACTCAAGTAGTCATCAAGTTAGATTGAGGAAAGAAATTGGCAACATATTGAAGTATGCTTTGGGGAGTGACTTTCATAGTGAGTAAACTTGCCAAACATAATGGAAAAGCAAAGAAAGTGAGTACACTTCTCGCGATAGGCCAGTAATGGAATTCGAAAGTAGTTGTTGGTATCCTTATAGAACGGTTGATTCATTTATGAAATGCTATCCATCATCGAAATGGGAAAGATTCTTTAGCGTATCTGTACCGAAGAAACATCCTGTTAAAACACCAGAAAAATGAAAGCTACCATATTCATTTTCATATTTTTCTTTTAGTTATGCAGTATCTCCTTGTCACAGTCCTGCTTAAAGTTTTTGATTTTATGTTATATAATACGTAGCAAGTTTGGTCCGTAGTTTTTTATTCATCTTGTAGTAGTAAGGAGCTATATCCTCTTGAAATTTCCATAATGTACTTTTCTGAAGAGTTTGAACAATTCCATTCTCTACAAAGAGTTTCCAAGCGACTTTGCTAACTTTTTACGGTAGTCGAGAGGGTGGTTTTAAGGTAAATTGGGTGGCAGTTTTAAATGTCACCCAATGTGCCCTATAATTTATCAAAAAATGTTTAATTTACATTTTAATAACGTGGAAACATTAAGCAAAGAATTTCATGTGGCTGTGACATTTTAAAATAATTTCTAGATTTTGTTGCAATATTTCGGGGTTTGTGTTTATTGTGATGATTTTTAAATCATCTCTCTTTCTCGTATCATGCTATTTAATCCTTTCCCCTCTAAATTTTCTCTCTTATTCTTTTTCTTCTCTCTCGGCCTCCTTTTCATAGGATACGAACACACACGAGACGCAACGTCAAAAGGTGCGTCTAGTTTAAAATTTAGCTATTCATATATAGTTATGAGCATAAACACAATGCAAGCAACAAGGCGAGACAAGATTTACAAAGGTCAGATTTGCTTTTTCCTCGCGAATAAATCCCATTCGCACGATGGATGGTGAACTTTCTTATCAATAGAAACACCTTCCCCTCGGATTTGGTTGTCAGAACAAAAACACTTCATTCATAGATATGTCATCAAGTAGATGAAGCTGTCATAAGTCAGCTTAAATTTTTTTGACTACTAACCCATACATTTTTAACCCCAGAAAAGCGCACTATGGCAGATTGGCTTTATATAGCACTTTATATAAACTCACTGATATGCATATGGGTTTGAATTTAATAATTATTGTACAAAACACTAAGGGTCAGAGGAAACTTTGAAACTAATGATTACCTTAAATTTTTCTTCAGGACGAGTAGAGACAATTTTTTGTAGAATTAATATATTTAAATGAATTTTGGACTGTGTGGTTAACAATGTCATATTTTTTAAAAGAAATATAAATTGCATTTGCACTTTCAAAATTTGTATTAATTCGGGAATATATGTAGCATTTTACAAATTGTGGCTTGGCGACAAGTCTGATTTCAAGCCACCGCCGCCATTTGCTGACTCTGTCGCTTCGCAGGTTGGAATCACGCTGCGTCATGTGCTGCCTGTCAGTACCCTTAGCTGCGTCGTCACACTCACTGCATACGCTTATCTCCACTCACATGAACCCGTTCTCTCTCACTTATCTACATTACTTAATTTCTTAATTGTCATGTCACTGTCTTATTACTTACATTTTTCATCGATGATTTCGTATTATTTTTCTTTTTACCCTTCAGTTGTATTAATAAACGCGTGTATGACTTTGTTGAAAAGTACGAGTTTTTAAGTTGTACAGTAATAATCTCGAGTCATCAAACTGAGTTAAGCAAGGTCTGTAACTCTAATTTAGTGTCTGACACGGTTTTATTTCCGTAGTGTTGTTGAAGTGTAGGCATTTCGGTAATAAGGGCGGAATCATGCAGACATGTGCGCGTTATGGATTACGACTGAAGCAAAATTATCTCCAGGATAAATTCAATCGCGAACTTGTTTGTGAAGTTGCATATATCAATACTGTCGATATTGGGTGGCAGATGGAAATATTTCATAGAAATAAATGTTTACTCGTTTTTTTCCCCGAGCAATCACTCAAAACCGTATCCATTTCTCTTCCGTGTGTTGGCTCAGTTCGTGACATTAGGTATGGAGAAATTCGTAGTGACAGAATCCAACAGTTTTAATGGTTTAATTGGTTAATTGGTTAAACGTGCTTCGAAATGAAGCAGTTCGGTTCTTTTAATTATTTTGCTGAAATAGTTGTAGAAGAAATTGAATGGTTGACTAGAATTAATGCATACTTCTGAGATTTTATTCAAAATAATGATAAAATTAGTGATTATTTTTAAAGTGAGCGAGTATGTTACGAGTATTTAGTGGACTTAAGTCATGTCGTCTAATTCAATTCACACATATATAACACGTAAGATCAAGATACCATCTCTTTGATGTAATACCGTCTATTTGATGTAATACCCTCTGTTTGATGTACTACATCTGGGCGTTGAGGTTTAATGTTTGGATGCCGTTAAACCCCGCTTCCAAAAAACTGAATGTGCATGCTCTTTGTTGCACAACATCTGCGCTTCGACTTAAACTACTGTGACCGGTCACTTCCATTAAGCGATCACCTCCATCACCACAGCTATTTTTTCGTAGAACCGATTGATTTATTTTGAAGACACAAATATTCCCTCGTTTAAGCGGCCATCAAGCTATTGCGACCACATGCTAGGCACATTTTGTGTATTACTCTTTATTACGCTGTCACTTTCATCGGTTTTTAAATGTAGTATAATGAATAGAGACGGTAATTATTATAGATTCAATATCTTACTGCAACGATCCATTCTCTACAAAGAGAGAATTGTCGTATTGCCAAGAAGATATATCTAGAACTTCTAGTCTTGCAAGTGGATTCATTTGTTTCAGGTTTCAAGAGACAATTTAAACAAATGACTTTATAAAATAAAAACTTGCCGCCCGTTACAGAACAATTTCTTTTTTTTTAACCACTGTATTCCTCTTTTCCTCTGTCAGATCTTGACTTTAGGTAATTAAGAGCATATGAAAGAAAATACTTTTACTTCTGTAGTAATCGAGAAGCATGCGTCTGTAACTCACTCATGGTTAGACTCTTTTCGGTCCTCCAATCTCGAGAAGTAAGGAATCGTTCGACGTGTTTCTGTTACATGGAAGGAGTAAGTAAGGTCACCTGGAAGGGAAGCAGTAACTTAACGAACGAGCCACCTCCTGCGCGCGAGCTTTCTTTCCTCTTTCTTGTCTATTCTCACCGCTTATTTACAACACACACATTCACATGTACTACACCATCACACCGCTGGGAGGTCAGTGCATGTCCTGACTGGGCGATGTCCCACGGGTGGGAGATACCTGGTAGGACAAAAAACGACTGGCCGATGTGTAGGCTGGCGCAGAATCTCACCATCCAGATGGACAGATCATCACCACCTGCCACCATAACGCGCAGTACACTTACCGGACTAATGACCTTAGAGAATGAAGGTCACCTGAAACGAATTAATCAATCAACACATCGATTTCTCGAGTTCAGATGTTTGTAGACCCAAATTGAAAGCCCTGTTTCCCCGCGCGGTGCTGTCTTCCGTGTGAAACCTTGTGTGTGTGTGCGTGCGCAGGCGCTGTGGCTGGGCGTGGAGGTGCTGAATAGCACGGACCAGCTGCCGCTGGCGCCCGACTGCCACGCGGCGCTGCTGCGCATGACGTACTGCGCGCGCTGCGGCGGGCTGCCGGCCGCCGTCAAGCCGTGCGTGGGCTACTGCCTGAATGTGCTGCGCGGCTGCCTGACGCAGCACGCGAGCGAGCTGGACCTGCCGTGGAACGGCTTCGTGGAGGCGACGGAGCGCCTGGCCGAGGCCGTGCGCGAGCGCGCGCCCGAGCGCCTCGTGCGCAGCCTGCACGCGCGCCTCACCGAGGCCATCATGTACGCCGCCGAGAACGCCGCCGCTATCGACAAGAAGGTAGGAACACCGCCCCCTTTCACTCCCTACGCTGCTCCGGCGTCCGTCGGAATCTTACAACTTTGCTGTTGGCACAAAAAATGATTGTTTTTTACTCATACATTTCGTGGTGGTAGTAGATATCTTGTGGTAATCCATAATACGGTAAAAGAAATAATATCCACAAAAGTTTTACGTTATAGCTTACAAAATACTTTTCTTGTGTTAATTTTGTCAAGAAAGGAAGATAACTCTGTGTAAAGTAAATGTGATGTTCTTACTACAACATAGTACACAGAAAATTAAGAAGAATGTAATACTTGCAAAATTTTAACAATACATCAAAAGTAGAAATTGTATATTTCCATGGTTGAGTGGAATGATATATTACAAATCAAACGGTACACTATACTAGATGGTCATGTGAAAATATACCGGAGATGTCATTTGGAAGAGACATGAAGAGCTGATTCTTTTCAGTGTATAACATTGCTAATGTATTTACATTTCGCCTTCGTCATTGTTTTATTTTCACAGTATTTTGAATCTGTTGCAATGTGGTACTAAATATTTTCCTGATTCCAATTACTCAGTTTAACATGGTTGCAGTTGGTTTAAAATGTTAATTTAGCGAATCATTTTCATTTTCAACCTATTACCATATGGCAATGCAAATACCGCTCAATAAAGCAGCTTGCATAACTAACGCCTTCAATAATGTTTCACGGTCGTTATTGAAAATTCATTCGTGAAACTGTGTTGAATAAGCGAAGATTGTATAGAGTTAATAAAGTACAATGTATTTTAAATAACACGATTTTGTCTAATAGAAAATATATTTTATAAATTTTCAGAAGTGTTATTTAATCATTGTCCACGAAAAACTCTTTATCAAGACCCTAACTTTTGTTTCGTCAATTATTTCTGATCGAACCCTTTGCTCCTGATTCTCATCTGTAATTCAGATATAAGGTACGTCCAATCGAAATTTTCTCATAATTATTAATTTTCTCGCAGGACTCTGTGTGAATATTCAGAGGAGCTGCAAGAATCCTCCAGTTTATTACTAACTCCCCTCGCATTCACGTGTTCCAGTCCGTTTTCCTGACTCCCCCTCCCCCCGTTACCTTAAGCCTCCGATACGTTTTCGTTCCTTCCTATCTCCCTCTCACCTTTATGCTCCCACTTGGAGTCGAAATTTGTGGAATAGGCGTTTCCTTGGGCTTATGGGCCGGCGTCGCCGCCGTGTCGATTTCTCTCTCGCCTGCACCACACCACACCGCACAGCGCTGTGCCAGCCGAAGCATGCGTTGTGGCGCCGTATCGCTCGGTCGGCCGTCGCCGCAGCCATTCATTGGCCCCCGGCAGCGCTCGCCCTCCGGCCGCTGCCCGCAGCCACATTCCCATCCCCGCCCCGACCCCTTCTCACCGCCCGGCCGCGTCAGCTCCTCCCCGCCCTTGTTATGCCCTTTCCTCCTCAACACACAGCTCCCAACCCTTCCTCTCCCTCACCCCTCCCACAATTCTCTCCGTTCATTGCTCTCCCCTTTCACTCCCTTCCCATCCTCTTCTCATCCCCCGTTCCTCCCTCTCCTCCCTGTCCCATCTTCAGTTGTCAGTTCCTTTCTTCACCAACCATTCCCACCGCGTCCCCTCTCGTCTCTCCCACCTCCACTGATCATGCCTTCATCTCTCACACCTTCTCTCTCCCCTTCTCTCTGCTCTTCTCTCTGCCCTTTCTGCTGGTCGCTCCCCTAACATCTCTTCATCGGTTCTCCTCCCTTCCCCTCCCCTCGCTTCGTCACCCCTCATTTACGATAGCGAGTACTGAGCCACTTCGTTTCTGAAATCACTCGTTTGCTTCCCGTCCATGTTCAGTCCTCTCTCATGCCCTTCCCTGCCCGTTTCTGCTCTATCTTACTGTGTGGTCTCTCCTTCCTCCCACCTGTCCTGCCCATATCGCCTCTCCTCGGCCTCTCGTTGATTCCAAAACGCGCTGCTGTTTCGGCCGCGTTCTGCCGCAGGCTCCAGCCGCACTCTGCCAGAGGCCCGCCTTCTCCAAGCCGCTGCTCCCTTCGTTATGTTTTGTTCAGTGCCAAACGCGCTTCGAAAGTCCACCTTCCAGCCAACAAATCCACTTGCGCGCTATTATTCTTTAGAGATATCTATCCTGTGATATCGCTCCGGTTTTTACTACATAAACCTGCATTCTTCCGACTCTTCACTTTATGTATTTTCCCTTTTCTTCTTTGCTCTCTTTTTTCGTTTGCTTTCTCGTTTGTTAGTTGTTGTTTTTTTCTATCTTCTCACCTCTTCTTTCCCCGTTTCTTCTCATATCCTTCATTAACTAGCTTCATTTTCTCCCCCAGAATTCTTAATTTTGCCCTTCAACTATTTCTTTCATCTTCATTATGTCGTTATTTCTATTACTGAGCCCCTCTGTCCCCAGAGAACCGCTACTTTAATTCTTGTCTATTTACCGCTGTCTTGTCTTTTTCATAACTATTTATTCTTTCTCTACCCGTCTCGCCTTTCACCTCTCCAAAGGCATTTTTTCACTCCTTTTCACGTATTTACCCCCGACGTCTTACTCCTCTTCGACTGGCTCACATCCACTCCACCTGCGCCACCGTTGCGCTGTTCCTTGTAGTCGCCGTCTCCGCCTCCTCCTGCGGGGCGTCTTCTGGTGCAGCTGCGCATTCATTTGTCGCTCCGCCGCCCATCCCCCCCC